AACCAAAAAGGTATCTTGCCCGGAGTCGCGTAACGTTTACTAGGGCAGCTGGTGTCGATGTTATCCTATTGTTATTATATGTCAGGTATATTGCATAACACTCTCATGGGATTCTGGGCCTATCTCAGCCGTTTCAAGCTGACGCAACGCTAGGGCTCGTATGCTTTGATAAAGCTCATTTGAATCTTGAACCGTCGTAGCTCTTGTAAATTCGCCTGTCAAAGTCCATAGCTTCAAGCCTGAAATAATAGACACTGCTCAAATGCTTAGCACTCACTCCCTAGTGCAACAACATAACATAGAGATCTTGTAGTTTCTCCACGTGTAGACGTTATGATGTACAATGATTTCATAAATTAGCTCTATTTTTATATTTAGCGGGAATCATGACGGAAGCATATATGATGTTTATGTCTTGGAATATCGATAGTAGAGAATCGTTGCCATGCCACTTAACTGGGTTATATAAGGCTGAATATAAAAAATAGAAATTATAGCCTGACTGGTTATTAGAAATGCATACTATAAGTTCCCTAATCTTAACTTCGTTCGTTGGCTGACAATGCTATTTGCCTTGTTTATTATACCATACGAAAAATGGCCGAAATTCTGTTGTTAGATGAATAAAATGCATCAAATGATACTTTGAAATAATCTTATCATTTTCTAGGCTGCCTTTATCTATCGTTCGTTTGTGTTATACAGGTTCACTGAAACCTGGTGGTAGACGACGAAATATGTTTATCAGAAGCAGTCAGTCCACTAGCACCAGAGATTTTGCTAATTTTTTACCATAAATCCGATTACTAGTATCCGAGTATTGTATTTTTCTTCATAGAATAAGGCTAACGACGCACGTTTTTTAGTTATTTTTATATGAAGATAATACGTTGTGTTTTTTGAAAAGGCTATTCGTTAAATAGTGTTTACGTATATAATGCAGGTAGAAATGAAAAGAGTTTTTTTTTTTAAACTAAACTGTATTAGCGGTTACAGCCGTAGTGTAAGCGGTCATCGACAATAAAAGCCAGTATGATGATAACATCATTTAAGACGTGTTCGTATTATATAAGAATAAATATTTATTTTTCCAATAAAGAAGACTTATTTAGACTATTTATTGACAGAGAACCCCTTTTGATGCTTTGTTCAGTTATGAATTTTTCTTTTTAGTTTTGTAATATAATTAGGCACTATTGTCACAAATAGTTAGACTTCAGAAACCGGTGATCGTGTCTTCAATTTGTCGGACTGTTTGTTGTGGGTTACACTCAACACACACACACACACACACACACACACGTACACACATATTAGCTTGTTCTTTCTCGATGATATCACGGTTTGACGTACTTTCCACAGCTCGTGCTGTCCCATAGCGCATCATTCCCCTTTTATGTACGATTATATCCGATTTAGCAAAGTTTGTTTTTAAGACGCGATGTAGTACTGGCAATAAAACATAAATAAGGCCTTAGTTGGCCCAAGTACCTCAGATCTGAATTATAACATGGTTAATCATCCAATCGGATGGTCATTCCTGGGGAACTTGATGACGAAAAATATCCAAGTAAACGAGATCACACCATTTTTTTTTTTATTTTAGGAACTAATTTCATCTTTTTAGCCGTCCTTTTTCTATTCCAGACGTTTGTATTTTTTTGCAATAGGCTTTCGACAAGAGAAAGACCGCAGTACTTATAAAAAATCATGTGAAATTTTTTTGCTAGTAACAATAATGGAAACATATGGTTTGAAGAACAAGCTTTGGTCAGATGGCTTTTAGGCCGACTATAGATAGATAACTTTCTTTATTCAGACCGATTTCGTAGTATGTGTTTTGTTGGGGCCAATTTGTAACCCACGTTGACATCCGGCATAACGATGCTATAACGCATATTCCGCAAAATCTCTTGGTCAATCGTTTCACGACCGGAAAATCTCTAATGTAACAATAGGAGGGATACGAAATTCGTTCAGGTGGGATACGTGGATGCTTGTGGATGAATCATGGATATAAGGTCGACGCAAAAAAATTTGACAAGAAATTCCCCAACGACTTTGTCTGAGGCTTGTCGGAAGAACAAGTTATTGGATTCATCTGGATAATTTGGGCTCTGGCGCAGTCGATGGGTAGAGCTTTCATTGTTGTTATTATTGTTCTACTTCGTTGTCTTATCATTGCTTTTTCTCCTTAGCGAGCAAGCAAGAAAGTTTCACATAAGACTAATTACACGACCGTTTTCTTCACAAAAATAAATCTCTAATCATATATAGTATATAGCTTGAGCCTGCTGGTTTGTAGGTTAGAGATAATTGATTCAACTGCAGCTATCGGCATATACTTATTATATACAGTGATGAGCAATTTTCACAGAAGCGATACATGTAGCTTGGCACATACGCACTGGACGTTGTTTTAGCCGCTTGGTCTTTTCAGTACCTCATCCTCCTGCTCATCCATAGGTATTTAGCGCCATTAAAAGACATTTCCCTACTTTACAATTTAATGTCATTCATGCCCACTCAGAAAAAAAAATTATCTTTAGGTTTACACAGTAATTTTTTAGATTTTAAAAAATTTGCTTCGATCGAAACAGCCTAAGGAGAACGGATCTAAGCCCAGCATACTCCGTATATCGGATTGGTACACGATCAAATATTGGTGCTCACTATCGTTTACACAATATTATGGAGTTAATGAAAAAGAGGTAAGGTTTCTGAAAACGCTAAATTAAGATACGACCGTCAGCTACGACCTCCTGCTGGAAAAGGTCACGTCTAGTCACTAATTGTTAAAAGCCAAAAACAGATAACGCACCGTTTGAATACTATTTTTACCTTTCCTGTATGAATTTAAATGAAATGCTGTTATTGTTTGATGCCATTCGCTTCATTCATCAGACATATAAGACTTTCCGTAGACATATAAGTTTCCGTATCGTTCGGCTTGGTAGAGCAGCGCCTATCTTCTGCCTACGCGGATGTCATTCGTACGTGATCGCATGTAAACAAAATCATTACGCTGCGACCATTCTGAGAATCATCACATCCGATTTCTGGGAAAATGATGGCATGAAAAATCGATTATTATCTAAAAATGGACGAATTTAGCTCGTTGTCAGTTTAGAGCCATTATTCTGCATGGCAAACGATAGCGGTTGTCGGAAACACGTCCCGACAGCGCGCCTTATTGCTATAATCAGCGGCCATAGCAAAATTGCAAGCTAAGTCGTAACGTTTTTTCCCTTAGATCCAGCTCTATTTCCCCTGAAAAGTTCTTCTGAAAAAATGAATAGGCCCTAGCGACTGCTCAGGCTACGACGATGCACTAGCAATCTAAGACACTTAAGACGAAAGGACGAGGGAAGTTTTGCAAATTAGCTACGTTATCGAAACAGGCAGTATCTGGGATGACTGCTTGGAAATGACCAAAGGCTGAACCATTGTCGACGTTATCTTCAAGTCTTGATCCAACTTAACAACAAGCCAAAAATTGAACATCAGTGAAGAATTGAAAGTGAAGAATCGTATGTACGCTCATTACTAGCCATCCACGATCAACACGCTAAATGTGAGTATATTTAAAAAATCTATGAATATGCATTTATTTTTTATAGCACTATCTTGATACTAATATAAACCGGAACAGGTGTTGCTACGAGACCGCTCTGTGTATAAGGGTAATATAGTAGGATACAGTTTCGCGAACTTGGCGTTATTTTCATATCACTGCTAAGCTAACAGAGCCTATTTCTATAGCCTGCCATCGTAGATTTTTTCTATTGATTTCTAATGCCCACATCGTCTGTCTAGCATAGGCGATCCCTTGTCAATCTAGCAGCCTCACACTATTATTTGCATGGCATTTCTCTAGAATTTTTCCTAGCTTTTTAATGCTTCGTAAAACAACGCAAAAAAAAAACTAGTTGTAACAAAGAAGAATTAGGACCAATGTTTCCATTGAATAGCATATTAAAACGTATGATTGACCTAAATAACAGCAGAATAGAGGCACAACTTCTCGAGTCAGAGTAAAGTGAGATGACAAAATTCGCACGAAGCCTGATTGCTTTGACTAACAACTGTTTTTGTTTCATTCCCACGGCAAATAGCGTCTTGATTATATTGTACCGAACACGCTGTTGTCGCGCCGACGCAGCCTTGTCGATTTGTACTGGCTTACTAGTTATTTAAAAAGCAACCGACAGCAGAACGAACCTGACGCTGGCTATTGGACAAGAAAAGAAAATGGTACATATATGGCAAGGTAAAGAAGATTTTAGGTATACGGAACAACTGTAGAAACTACAGTGGTCCATGTCATTGAATGAGTTAACAGTATGTATGTCCCGATATATTTATTGTTGCATGCCTCTATTGAAAAGATGACTTTCTCAGACATTAGGCTAGCACGCCTAGATGCCATACCTGCTGATCTGCTCACAGGTAGACACTAGGTAGAAGAGTAGCTAGAAAAAATAGTTCGACATAATAAATGCACCAATTATCGTCATTCTCTAAAAGAGAACAAAGTAAGCCTTATTTGAAACGCTTAAACATTTTATTGCACAAATATTGCTCAAATTTATATTCCTTGCGTTATAAAGTACGCTGAAGCGACTGGCCCCGGTCCGTTGGGCATAACGGCAACGTCAGCGACAGACAGAAAGACCAGCTGCTGCTGAAAGTAGATTGACATCAGCAGCAGAAATCAAATTAACAGAATGTTATTAATTGTAGCGTGATCAGAATTGGGCTATTGCACATTTACGGAAGGGGCCGCTGTACCAATAATAACAAGATGAGCTCTCTTTGATTCCATTTCGTTTCCTTTTCTGATAAACAGTTCACTTGCGATCGTGCCCATCATTATCGGCAGCTGATCAGTTTCAGTATCGCCATGTTTAGCATACTGCCGTTATCGTCACAATTCCCTCACGTCATCGTCATCACCACCAATAGCGTTGCCTCATTGTTAGTACGACTATCTACTTTGCGTAGCAGTTTTTTTTTTTTTTTTTTTTATATTTATCTAGTGATCTTCTGACCCCGACGCTCCGCCGTCGTCTACTATTCACAGATGAATAATTATCTCAATACAGTTCCCGATCTTTTGTTCCCCCACCTAAAGAAATTGTTTTCCTCACCTATTGGTGGCCTTGTTATTAGCTCTTTTTAGTATTGTCGTCGTTGTTATTATTATAACAATCGTTGTGACCGCTCATATTGTCGCAGTCTCTGTTTGACCTCTATTTTTCTTGTCGTTATAATTAGTGTTATTGTTACTATCGTTGTTAATTATCAACCACCAGCAGCAGCAGCACCAGCAGCAGTTTGTTGTTTCGCCTGCGTCTAGCTCCACTTTCTAGGTTTTCTTTGTTAAATTAATATATGTAATTATCATTAAAACAATTCCTAACGCTCATATTGTAATAACAAATCTTATCCTATCTGTGTTGTTTTCATCTGCCCTACTCATCCTCACATTTTCTTTGTTTATAATTCAAATATCTAATTGTATTGTTACTATCGATCGCGTCATTTTTATTGTATTTTAAATATCATTTATGCTGTTCCAGACCCTTTGTATCATTCGTGTATATGAATATTACTATAGCAGTAGGCAAGAGTGTGGATTTGCACCCGTGTATTGTTTGCCGTTGCTGTGATATTCTCGGTACGTGCATTTGTGCATGTGTATACAACGCGACCTTTTCCAGATTGTTTGTCGTGCACTGTCGTTTACTGCGTGCCGCCGAGACGTTCGTTTCAACTCAGCATCGTCTGCGCTCCTAAAACGCTCATAGTCTTCAGGCATATTCCTCATTAACTATATTAGGCGAAGTATCGATTCGTTCATGTTTGACAATTAACGGTACATATAGTGAGTGATTTGCCCATCGTAAATTGAAGCTGTATCAAACACGTAATAACGAACACAGTTATTTCTCGTGATATTTTTAATGCTACGATATATTGTAGTATGTGCTAAAATAAAACATGAGAAAAAAAGCATCTCTTTTTCACGCATCATAATGCTACGAGGCTCGCCCATCTAAAGCGCTAGCAACAATAACGATGGACCTCTGTTATTGCATCAGAGATAAAAACACATTTTGCAAACGTGCCAGCGGCATTTCGGGTCGACAGGAAACACCTTTTTTAGGTATCAACTGTCTTTTGGCTTGTCGCTAGGCTTCCATAATACGACATAGCGAGAAGCTAAGCCGATGTAACGCAATTAAACTAGGCCAACTTTTACAGATTTGGGGCAGACATCCTTTACCTCAAAGGAGCTATTACGAGATATTCGGTCGCTTGTTGTTGTACGTAAAGCTGTCCGATACGTACCGTTCACTGCACCCTACGTCTGAGCATGTATTTTGGCGCGGTTAGTCTTGTCGGGGCAACGCTATCACTCATTTAAGAGATATTTAAGACAAACAATTGTAATAGTTCAAGGGCCCAGAAAAATCAAGCCCACTTAATACTACTGAGCCCCTTATAAACGCTATGGTAAAGGCTGAATATAGAAATCAGTTATGAGTAGCAATAACAGTTTCTGCTTTATTATCATTGATGTTCAGTGAACTAATTGGTCATTACTGTTTACCATTTTTTTGTCAAAATTACATTTCAGCCGCTTGTAGATATATTTGAATTGCTGTTTTTATGCAACATGTCACACGGGTCGTCACTGGTTTACGTTTTTAAGCATAATGGCTACATAATCCGTGTCGTCTCATTTGTCGATAACCGTATCATTATAGAATTCGGCACGCTTTCGATCTCACATGCTGCTACAAGGCAATCCTTGAGCTGCTTTATTTAGTTAGCTTTATCGCTTTCTTCCTGATGCTATCTTTCTTCTTTGCTATTATTACGCAACCGAAATATGTACAGTTACTGTGATGAACATTGCTGTTAGTTGTGTTTGGACCGTTCTTCCCTATCGTTTATTATCATCCGCGTTATTATTATTATTATTATTAGGACCGTCCCTTACTATGGTGCCCCGTATAGAAATCTAAATGTTTCGCCTTTTAAATTAGTTTGTATTGAAATTTCCGTTATTTTCAGTGGCCTTTTTTACTCGTTTCTGGTTCGATGTCAACGATGATGAAGACGCCAACCTGTCTGCGGTAGCCAGAATCTGAACAGTAACTTATAACTTACGTCCATGGAAAAACTTATCCGCTCTCGTACTTGAACGTTTTTTGACACGCGCGCTTCCTCGCCTTCCAACACATAGCTCTGACCATACGCCTACTTTCCTCCCGTCTTGAAAATGTCTGGATCAGCTAACTCTGTTCCAGATCGCTGTCCTGCAGACCAGTATTATTCCGTATCGTGCATTGCAACGGCTATCGGACGCGTGTTGGAAAACGAATGGCCATTTTCTGCTAGCGAAACATGCTAAGTATCTACCTTACCCAACGGGCCTCACGACTGTAGCATGATGAGATGAAGCTTTTTCTTTGTGTCTGTTTGAACGCCATTTATGTAGTGTGATGATACTGATGTGTTGATGGCATAGGTGACGTTAGGCGACACGACGTAGGGCAACATTGCCCCTCTAGCCATAACAGATAGCCTACGAGCGCATGCTGTCCTGTTTTCTTTCTCTCTGTATTATACTATCACTCCTATCATGTTTATTAGCATGGAACACAGGCTGCTTCTTCCAACACTAACCACGTAATTTTACATCAAATCCAACAAGACTGAGACATATATAATCGGGGCGACCATATCGTGCGTGTATGTATTTGTAAGTTCACTAGAGCATACATACACTAACTGCTGCACTTTGGGCGGGCGCACTCGCAACATGTCAACATCAGCTATCAGACATACGTAGAATAGATGCAAATACAGGTTCACAGATATCACCATTCTCTCTTTTTCTATATATTTTGTTAATGTTCTATTTGTTATCGTAGGGTTGTTGTGGTAAGTATAATTAGAGTTACTGTCGACATTATTCCGGTTTTATAGTCTATGGACAATCATTCTTTCCCTGTTCACACACCAGTTATTACGGAGACGTCACGTTACCACTAGTGTTACATACTGTATGTATCGTAGTGAACTCATCGCCTTTACGTGGTGTGTGTTAGCGCCATACGCAGTGGTTCTTGTAAAGCAATAGCCTTTGGCATGGTTCGTAAGCAAGCAAATTTCAGTCTATGAAACGCTACGATATATACTGATCATTTTTTTTTTGTTGTGTCTATCAGTTTGTTATGCTGCTATTGTCGCTGATATAATTAATTCACGTTTTCGGAAACGCCTTCGTTCACGGTCACGCCCCTTCATTGTTTGCGATGCCTGAGAATGAAATAGCACTGTTGACCCCTAGATACCTTCAAGCGCATCGCCATTCGGCATCGTTGCGTGTATATCTTATCACTACTACCAGTTCGTTAGTTGCTTCGGAATTCATTTTCGGAAGCATCGGACGTATGTATAACGTCTTCTTTACCGCCTTCTCTAATTTTTCTCTCTCTGTCCAAATGCTTTATTTTAATGAATGTAATGGCTCTGCATGTTACGTAACAGCAGGTGGAACCTGTTGCACCCAATATGCTGTTACACTAACTGCGGCTTTTTTCATTAGCAGAAACACTAGACAAGAGAAATTTAGCTCGATGAAGACTACCATGACAGATCGTCCTGTGATAGCATTATTATGACACGTCTAGGGGGGAAACTTCTTAACTCGTCCCGTACTAATCGCATGCATCTGGATCCATTAGATCGCTCGGTCTAACCAAACGCTAGCCGAGCTAGGCTGGATATTCAATAAAATTGAAATCAAAAATAAAAGAGACATGAATAACGACAAACGTGATTCGACCCCGTTGGATATTACTCTAATCTACTGCTAGACATGGCTGTAATCAAGAGGAGGAGGAGGAGGAGGAGGAGGAGGATGAGGAGGAGGAGGAGGAGGAGGAGGAGGAGAAAAATTCCGCAGGAGCTAAATTCGAATTAAGCGCTGTTCCACTGTTGACTTAGCTAACAGTCGCACCCGGTCTTTTTTGAACGCAGACTTCGTAACGACTGCATACGTACACAATACGTCATTATTTAGATTTCGTTCTATGGAAGCGGTGTTAGATGCTTTATTGACTTGCTTTATGGATAATATTAGTCTTCCTTTTCTATTGCAGACTGCAACATTGCCATTACTAATCCGTTATAAAGCAAGCGTTCGAGGCTAGACAACTCGTTGATTTTCGGGCGGCGTGGGGGACGGACGAGGGGTTGAAGACTATCGATAAACTGCGCGATAGTTATATGTATTACGAAGGAGCTCCATTTGTTACCGTCAATTTTCACTTTGTTCTTTCCATCGTTTTATTAAACTGTCGCATCTTGTGAATCGTATTTGCTCCTATGCCCTAGGCCGGCGAAACACGTTTTGACAATAATTTTACACCTGTCCATATCTAACCTCGGTTCTACGTTTTCTCAGCTCGCTAAACGAATTACACTGAGAGAAATATCATCAGTACCTTTTCGTACTATACGCATTTCTGTATGTATCTTTGTATATCGCATCTCTCAAATGATCGTTCAACTCTCTTATCTGTTTGAAGTAGCTCCATATCATTTTAGTAATACTAATACTTGCAACATTATAGCAATAATGATGATTAGCAACAATAAGCTAGCTTTAACTCTACCATCGATCGTAAAATATCTGCGCAGCTGTTCTCAAGTTCGCTTTCCTTACGAGAAATATCGCGATGTCTATCAGCCATAGTAATATAATAACAATCGGAAATACTCTATCTGTTCGAATAGGGAACTCATTTGCTCGTCTACCGTTTACCGCAGAAGTTTTCTTCCGTTTTACCCGTAATAATCGCTATTCTTCGAAATAATTCGGAATTAATTTAAAAAATAATGCAACACCATCGTCAATATCAATGTTATTCTACTGGTTTTTTCATTTAACAATGTACAAATAATCTCCCTCATTCACTTACTTTTTATATTGTTACTGTTACTCATGACGTATCGGCCATCTGGTTAATTATTCTCTATGAGTATATTTCTTCGATGATGTTGTATATGCGATATTTTAACTCATGTGGTTTTCCTTCGTTACGCTTTCGGAAATTCTACAATCTGTTTCCCTTGTTAATTTTTTTGTTAATTATATAATAATTATACAGTAATAGCATCAACATCATACTTTGCGTTGCATATATTCGAGAGAATTCCCGATTCAACATACGAGTCAATATCGGCATAATCACTTATCATGTTTTATCTGACAGGTGGCCAAACGGCGTCCTCGTCCGACGTGTGTCTCCGCTCAGCGAACTTAGATGTTCTTTAAATCTTGTCTGTGCCTTTCCTATATCTTTCTCTGCCTTGTGTCGTTGTATAAATGTTTCGGTTTGTATCCTAGCGCTCTCATCATTGTTATATTATTACTATATTTTTGCCCGTCATGTTGTCTCGATCTACTTGCTTAACCTTCAATGGCCCGCTTAATTCCTCATCCCTATGTGAGTTTTGCTTGTTACATAGCTTAATCCCTCACTTTTACTTTTTGAATGGAGTCGATACATGCGTGAATCTTTATTAAATGGGGTAAATATTTATTTTCAGCATCCTTTTTGTCGTATCGGTTTGCTTGTCATGCTCGTGTCCATTATGTAACGTTTGGCATTAGATAGAAAAGTGCTCGCCTATTTGCCACCCACTTTCTATCTGTTGCTCTGAACACTGATCTGAGGTCTCAAGCGAAGGTTCTCAACAAAACTGATAAACTTACGCCGGTCGCTCACCGCCATGATTTCGGCAACGGAATGAGTGTCTCAAATTTGGCGCCGTTAACTATTGCCTTAGACGGCTGACAGCTCTCCCCAACATGAAACAAATCTTTCTTCACTGCACCATCACGGGAACAACGGACTCTCCGGTTTTTTCAGCGACGCATTATACGTTCACATTTGGGCCGTAGAATTGTGCATCCAAAATTTCCACCATGATGAAGTGTTGACTGCACTGTTTTCCACTGGGTAGAATCGAATTTCCCTGTGGGCGTTAGCTACATTATGGGAGAACAGCAGCGTCGCCATATCGGACAATGCAAATATAGATCGTCTCACCCGAAATAAGGAATGCTATTTTGCACCTCTTGCTCGTATGTCTTTAGGTTCTGTAATTCTAATAACGACGATCTGCTTACATGCTGTTGAACCTTTTGATCCTACAAGGAGAACGCAGCGAGCCCAGTATATATAGAGATACATTAGTTTTAGGGTCTCGTGTAATGTCCTTGCCGATAAAGATCGCTAGTAGGTGGACTAAAAGTCGCGTCCATTTCCTTGACAAACGCAAATATTGCATGATCTGTGTTACTTGTATCGCTTGTTACATGTTGTTATATAGTGGTTGTTTTTGTTTGTTCAGATGATTCATCATACCGCTATTTCCACATTAGTTCGTCTGTGACGTGTGTCTGTGCTTCGTTTGACGACAAGGATGCATCACCTCAAAGCAATTAGAAAAAAGATACTACCATACTTTGTCAGGGAGCATGGAGGTGTTTGTTAGAATCCTACTGTGGGATTGTAAATTGCATTTCAGACTTGCGTTTAGGTAACGAATAAATTGTCCTTCCTGTATATAGTTACCTAACTGAACCTCAAAAATGTTTTTTAGAAGTCAAGACGGACCTACTTGCACTTTTTTGCAAATTTAGAGCAAAATTATGATGAAACTCTTGGCAAGATTTGGGGTACTATATACGAGCTGCATTAATATTTTTTTTAGCTCCTGTCTAAACTTATCTACGCTCGTATTAGGTTTTTGTTGTATAATGCAATTATGAAGAGAATACAAATACGGCAAAAAGTACGGTTGTTATTGCTTATATGTATTTAGATCCTGCATATGGGAAAGTGCTTATTATTGAAGTCAGTTACTGATTAGAACGAACATGTCTACGATACGACAAACACTCTGACTAGATTGTAGAATGAAAGCAGCAAAAATAAGTGAACTTTTAGTTTCTTTTCATCGGGGAGTTACTAGAATCCTCGCTTCTAACCATTTTATTTTCGATTTACCAGCCACGTACGTTGCATTGTATGGGCTCATGTCATGAAGTTGTTGTTTTTCTTTTTTATTTTCTTATATTAATTATCCTTTCCTCTTCTTATTGTTATTATTATTATCGCTTGCTCTCTGCCGTTTCCCTTCTTTCTATCTCATCTGTTTCTCGCTTTCGCCCACGTACTCTCTCTCTCTCTCTCTCTCTCTCTCTCTCTGCTTTCGCTCTCTGTTGTCAACATAATAATAATAAGTATTGTATAAGTTGTTTTGTCTTCACCCTTTCCTTTGTGTGCTTTCTAATGCGCATTATAATTATCATGGTCTAAATAAACATTTAAGGAAAGAGACGCTTAGAATTAGTGACTCTCCCCACATGGCAACAGTTTCACTACCTAAGGATGACTCGGGGGGATGGGTAGCATCAACCAGGTTAGACGAGTTGTCGAAATGTTTTTTGGGGGGATGATGGCATGTTATGCAGTATGATGGGTGGATGACTGACTGGCCGACCGGCCAATGCGCCCGATATTGCTATAGGCGAAGCACTGTATAATTGTGTGAAACCTTACAGACGTTTGCCGCCGAGTCTTGTTAACAAAGTTGAAGTCCATCGGATTACATTTGATGGGCTAGTTACTGGAATTTCAGGTAGGTCGGTGCAGATACATGTACTGTAGATGATTATCTCCACCAGTCTGCTCACAAGATATCTTTTCGCCGCAATTCTCGCCGCATCATTTATTTTTGGTGGACGAGCATCATCTGCTAACGCATATATTACGTACTCAGTACCGCTCTGTAGTAAACTGATCAGAAGAGCCGAATGTGGACTAGGTCACGAACCGCTAGGCGGCATGCTAATTATACAGTTATATATATATATATATATATATATATATATATTGAATATTCACGCATATATAAGTGCTATCAGAGCACGCCATTAGTCGGTATATTGTTCTTTGCGATCTTCCTTGCACACGTTGGTTGTCTCGGTGCTAACCTCGGTCTTCTGAGACAAGTGGATTTTGAGTCCCTTCATTACCTTTAGCGTCTATTTGCCGTAAACGATATTCTCTCTTCGGCAAGTTACGACAGAGGAAGCGATGTGTATCCGTGATGTGTGAATATTGGTAACTGGTCAATCTATCGCAGTGCCTCAGAATTTTGACAAAAATTTCTAATGGAGCTACAATGATAGTATTGGCCCATGGGCGAACCCCGAATGTCGTTTCCATAAACCTAAACATTCTTTCTGATCACGTCCGTGTTCTTCTTCATTCGATCGTTATTTCAGTTTCTTGCTATGCCACCACCCCCTCTGGCGGTAGCACTTCGTAGCAATCCCCTGTAATGTTCCTCACGGCGACTTTGTCTATCTATATATTCATATTTATATATATAACTCTTCTATATATATTTTTATTATATATTAAATTTTCCTTGTTTTTGTTGGTGTATGTGTGTGTGTTTGTGTGTTTTTTTTTTTTCTCTCTGTATAGATCATTAGCTAGTCAGTTGTGCTTATCCCTTATCGTGATTTCCGTAATTTGTTGCTTTTTGCGATTTCTCGTTCCGCTCTGCTTCTCATAATCGTCATTATACTACACGCTTGCGTTTCGCGTGAGACGCTGGTATCATTATTACGGGTATTAATATTCCGTTGTGTTTTTTTATTTCTATCAATATGAATAAATCTCTCATAACAGTTTCTTAAATAGTGTGAAGTCGCGTCCGTTCTCAGTCGCCGCCATCATAACGAAATGATGACTCCCTTGTTTTCGTATGACGGGGCCGTGTGGCAGTGAACGCCTTGCCGCTAATAGCGGCCACAATAACATAGATGCCCCTTCCTCTATCCTTTGCTCCCCTCTTTCTAAACCAGAAGAGTGTTGAAATAAAGGTAGTATCAGTAACGATATTATCCATTTGTGCCTGTGTTGTTATTGTTCTTGATGCTGTCATCATTCCCTGTTGCTCTTTCTTTCGTTCTTTCTTTCCGTTCGTTCAAAACACAAAAACGCGGGGCGACGCCAAATTAGTAGAGCAGGCTTTATCATCAAAATTACATTAACATTATATACTCATCTATACACTAGTTAGTAGTGCGCTAGCAGAACGGCGCTGACGTTTGCCTGTCACACGCCGTCCGCGTAACGGGATACAATTCGCTTGGCCCCAGCGCGATCGGAGGGCTCAACTTATGGCTCATGGGGGGTCGGCTCAATCAGTGATCATCACCACCAACATCGGTATACTCAACATTTGACACAGAGGTCGTCCTTTTTTATTATTTGTTGACCCTGCGCTATTAACTGTCCTGTTGTCATATTCATTATTTTACCGACTGCACGACTAGTTGATTATGCTTGCTTGTCTGCCTGCCGCCTTCCAGTTGCTTCACTGACGGCGGATTTCTCCCTACTCTATATTATACAGCTTCTGTTTGTCTGTCATGTAACTAAAATACAGTAACTAGTGTCGTCAACTTCATCACGCTGTTGTCTTAGGAAAAATGGTAGCGATGGCCCGGACGCTTTCGTATGACCGGTTGGGTTCCGTTTTTTCAGAGCCTAATTCTGGGTTTATTGCTCGATAGCTCGCTGATTGCAAACTTGCAATGTTCGAGCTCACTACGTTTGTCAGGTATGGACGAATTGACGCCGAAGTTGATAATGCCTTTGAAATGTTTTGACACTTAACTGAACTACCTTCGCCGTTGACCGTTCTTCCTTTTTCTCCAACCAAGGCCTGTGGGGTGCCTTTTTCCCATACAAAATTGTCAGAGGTCGACTCGATGCTGGCCAAGAAGTGGACGTAGTAGGCCCGGCAAGTGATGTTCACCCGAAATCCACTTTCCGAGGGCTCAGGTCCTTGCTTACGCTTTTTGCTGTTGTTGTTGCTGTTGTTGAGAGTGTGTACGTCTCTTTTTGCTAGGATAATTAACATCGACCTTATAACTTTGTCATTACTTCTGTTCTATGCGTCCGTTGCCATTACACTTTTTCGTAAGCAACATTTTGCGCGCAAGCGCATCCATCATCTGATTTCACGCAATTCTCGGTCCACGCGTACCATCAACATTGTTTGCATGATTTGTTTGTTACACCCAAAAATGATTTTTGTCCATTCATTCTTCCTTCCATCAGACTGTGGGAAATCAAATTCTCACCATTGCACTGTCATCATTAACATTAGACTTATCTATTCCAGAATGATCAGGATCATCCTTCTCAGTGTAGTAATGTTGCTCATCCAAAAGCTATTGCAGCTCGCTCATTGCTTTTGTTTTTTTTCCGTCATCGCTGTAGCTCTGTTAGTGACAGTAACTGTAGATTAGTAGATATAAAGGTGTCCCTGTACTTATTGTTATTATAATCTTCGTAGTGTGCTAATAGAAGTAGTTCATTCTTGTAGTTAACTATTCGTTTGTGGTGATGATCGTTCAGCTCCATAATAACATCATCTTGTTTTGTTTGTTTAGAAATCTGCGAACTCCTTGGCACATTTCTCGGTTGAGGAAATCCTTAACGGTTCCTCTTCGTATTCATCGAAATTGGACGTGTCGCCTGGTCCTGCGCTTCGAGGGAGGAAGGGAGCCTCAATCTGTAATCATCGACAGCAGGCAAATTCAGGTACGTAGCAAAAAGGTGCAGCGTTAGTAATAGTGTAAATTTTGTAGAAGAGTCTAACGGTAGCTTGGTACGTTTCGTAGATGTGGACATGTTCGCCCAAGCTTTAACTAAAAGCTATACGCGAACATATACGCAGATGATAGCAGTTTTCGTTAATCATGTCATATTTATTATATGTCAAATTTAATATAGGTTTATAAAAATACAATCATTGAATGAACTTCTGAGTTAATATTAAAATATTTTCAAAGCTATGTAACTTCTGGTTAGAGATGTTGCTTAGTGAAGCCACTGAGCGCATAACGTTGCATGGTATTTGACGCGTATTCCACCACATCTTATACAGGCGCACGTAGCGTTTAGCAAATGAAAACCCAGTGTACCACATTGGATGCGACAAAGCCCAGCTATATCAAAGCGTGTGACTATGTGTTGGTTAGTTCTGTTCGACCCTCTGCGGTAGTGTGTCTCCGAGAAGATATATATGTATCTGTCTGTATAACAGTAAGCGGTGCAGTTCCATGGCGCATTTCAGGAATGCGTATTAGCTTGGTCGAGTTCTTCGAGCTGCTGTTTTATTACGACGCTACTTGAGTTCCGTAGCGAGTTAGCAGATTCGTCTTCATTTTGAACAGGGTCGGTGCCATTCGTAACCCAAACCTGCAGGGAGCCCATATACCCACACATGCCAACATCGCTCGTCCTATTGTGTCCGCGATGTGCTCCGCAAAGGCTCAACCGTTTGTAGCGAGAAATCACATCCAGGTACCTCGAGCTGGTCACTTACTTCCAGGCTGTTCTTTCTATACGGAGTAGAAATTCAGTCAGTAGCAACGAGGCTGCTCCGCCTTACCCACATTAATCACTAGTGTCGCCTCATCCACGTTTAACATGAGTCTGCAAGAGCTTGTTAGAGACTAACAGATTCCTTCCAAAGATACGTGTTTCGCTTGAGCTTGGATACTGAGCAGCAGATCATTCAGCAGCAGAAACAAAAGGACTAGATAACCTGTGCTACGCTACTTGACAGAATGAATGGTTGAGCTGGGCCGCTCAAAGGCCGTCCACGCTAACTAGATCCTATTGTAAAATCACTCTATTTAGATGCAGCACGGTCTGAAGAACTTCTTGCAAGATGTCGCTAAAGTCCTGTCTGCCAGACGTCATGCAATGAGATGGGCAAGACGTCCAAAGAAGTGGGTTCTCCCATGATCGCCTTTTATGAACAAAGTAGTGCGGGAATGAGCTTTAGAAGAAAATCAATCGAATTTTTTGGCAGGTGTGCATGCTGTAGGTAGGCATTGAATAAAACTGCCCCGAAAAGGAGTAAGTTAGCTGCACTCTGAAAGCGTTGATTCCGGATTAAGCCCATTCCTCTCGTCTTGCTCAGCTGAAGCTGCTCCAAAGAATGCAACACATCAAACACGAAGAATCCTACCCCCAACGTTCCACACATCGTAGAGGTTTGTTTTTTTTTTATACACCGGTGTGCGGGACCATAGTTCGTGATATGGTCTTGGTCACCGCGCACATACGCTGTTAACACTGTAAAACTAGTAGGACGTAATATTAATCTTTCCTTGAGCAGCCGTTGTCTCTTTGCTTGTATCACTAACTTATCCCTCTGAGGTACTGCCGGGCTACGCCGAGTCAAGAATTGGTCTATCTGCTTTACAGGAAGTTATTAAGCGGCTTCATAGCCGGATGACACTTGATCAAATTATTTATTTGGCGCAGTGTTGTAGATGCCAGCTATCACTCTACGCTAAACGACGAACCTTGTAATGGCGGCCTCAAGTAGGTTGCGCACGAACTCATTATTTCAATCAAAATCTCAGCGTTTGATTTAATCAGTTGCGTCTCGTTAGAGAAACAGTTCAACTCCACCGGTACGTGCTATCTCAGAGTGTTTTTATCGTATGCTCTTATACATGTGGTCTATGGCTTGGAAAGTATGATGATGTGGATGTCTGTGAAAGTCAAAGATGGTGGCAGCAAAGTCTGAGCTGTCCCCTCTACATTCCACTGCACAGTAGCTCCTCATAATAATTCGTCTGAGCAACCCAGGAGTTCTCTCGATTTTCTTGATTCCATCGTCTGCTTTGCGACCGATCGCGGCTGTCCCAGACGATTGGATTTTTGACACGGAAAGCCTTGTGGACCTGCATATATGCCAATGCCCGGGTAAAGCAAGCTGTTCATGAGTGCTAAAAGCAAGTACCACTTGTCTTTCAAGTGCATTTTATCGAGATAAGGCTGTGCGGACCGGCAATTCTGATACCTGGTAAAAGCTGACGGTGGCTGAACGAGGTCCTCGCGAGTCGACCGTGACTTCGTAGTTCGTCGAGATGCATGTGGCTTTCCCGGCAACTTCTTCTTTATGACTAGTCTTTTTCTACGGTATTTTGGCGTGTACGTGTGTATGTTTAAAGGAATTCATGAGAAGATGCGTCGCCGTGAGCCATTTTTAACGGCATAGCGTTTCTGACTCACAGTCCACTGAAGCGAAAGGCGCAGAGAATGGGGCAGGTACAAAGCTAAACCGCCTTTAGCTTTATATCAAAATCTTTTACCGTCCAAGTGAGGGAACGCCTTTGTAAAAAAAACTCTATGCATTCGTTATAGTCGGTTTGCAAGAAGACCATTGCGGGCGCCGATGTACTACCGACGTACTTCTCAGCTTCTTTGAGTATGCTGTTTATACCTATCTTCTATGTTGATTGTATGACCACGGAGGTCTTTTTCAAAGAGCGTTGCTTCGGCCCGTACCCCGGCAGCTCCGCTACCAACGCCAATTGTCCTGAGAAGCGGATCTCACAGCAACGGAAAGGCCCTCTACCGGGACAGCCGGTTCGTAGTTCGATCTAGTGGCTACAGAGGCTTACTGATCTTTGCAATTTCAACTAGCCTTCTTCCGAGCCTCAGCGCAGGATAGGAACGACATTCTCCCATCACACCAGAGCTGAATGACAAGCAGGTGTTTGAACACCTTGTCAGATATTCCAGATATACCGTTACGCAATCCACTGCTTGAACGTTGTGCACGCTATATACGTGGCGTTAAAAAAGGATAAGCTGATCAGACCGTCTCATCGCCGATTGTATAACTTGCGTAGAACACTCTATTACATTAGGAGAGTATAGGTACAGGCCATCCAGGATGCTCCTTGAACACACTTGAGAACACCTTGAACGAGCACTAAGCTTGCACATTCGGGCACAGTTAGGACGAGACAAGTGCGCCGGGCACGAATATTTATGACTATAAGCTGGGCTTCATTTTGTCATGAATGCAGATTGGCTGGAAGTCGATGTCTGTTTTTGTATTTATTGTTGTTGTATTTTGTCGATCATTTTACCCGTCACCTCATGACGAGCAAAAAGGAAAGACCTATGTCTTTTTTATGTCGGGGCCCTAGCACGTTGCAGGATCTTCAAAGTGGTCCTGACAGGAGCCAACGGTTTGATAGTTTTTCCATGACCAGCCGTGACAAAACGTATAGGATGGCAAACATGACAGGACCCACAAGACGCACTATGGATGGGATAGCTAAGGTGTACTTGAGGCTGCTGAACCCAGGGTTTCTTTCCGTTTCGTGTGAGTCAGTCGGTCGGTCTGTCTATCTAGAAATCCTTGAATTCATTCCCGGGCACGCAATCGTCGGCTATCAGAAAAATCTATTCGTTCTCCTCGAAATTTTCGAAGTACTCTCTGTCACCATTTGAAACCAGTTTGGATCGGAGGAACGGCTTTTCCTGGATGCATCATAGATGCATGCACATGTATTGATTAAGCACACAAATCGAATGGATTTCACACAGTGATTTATTCTCTACCAAAACGCTATGCTATATTTGCTTAGACATTTTGCAGTTCATTAGTTTCTTTTAAATTAGCCAACTATCGAAAGAATAGAAGGTGGGTGCGCACAAAAAATGCTAAAATCAGTATATTAAGCAGGATAATATTAGAACTGTGTATAAAACCAATAAGCATCACTTACAGCCATCACGTCTGCAGCTAAATATGCCTGTTTAACCATATCCAGACTAGCTAGTCAGACTAAATTTAATCTATAAAGTTTCTCAAAGGCGCACGCGCAAAAGAGGCATCGACAACGGCCACCTTTGTCACACTATAATATCAACATATAGAATAGCAAGGACGGGTGTTTGATTATCCCTTTGTTGTAACATTGCTAAAGTTCCCGTCCCATAAAGTGAAACAGCATAAAGCCAAATAAAATTCCTAATAGTAATAATAATAATTAAATATGCCACTAATAATTACGCGTGCGCACGCATAGAAATTTGTACTGTAAAATGACGTAAGAATTGGGCTCTTTGGACCGATCCAATCAAATGTCGAATATAGAATGTTTCTATTTGGCTTGAAGACCACTGAATGTTTAAGACTAGACGAAATGCAACAGGTATAACCGTCGCCATAAGTAGAGCTACATAACAGACAATTTAAGATTTAACAAATTCAGATAAACACCCCTTAATAGCCAGTAGACACACTACCCAAGTATTCGGAAACGTTTTTTGGCAGTTAATGGAGGCCAAAATTGATTATTAAGATGAGTTTATGTAGACTATTTCGTATGCTGAGGAACCAGGATGTTACGACATTTTAAAATAGGCGTACCTCTTTCCGGTAAATGGCGATCCAATCAGTCTGCGCGAACCAACGGTGATTTTTGATATCATTCACACCGTTCTTTAGGTTACCATAACGCTTAGTTAGATCGACCTGCAGGAGGTTCCGCAGAAGGTCCTTCAAGTCCGACGTAAAATGTGACGGGAATCGAACCTGCACGAAAAGGGCCATAATAAACGGAACAGACATAATTGATGTTACGGCGTCATTTTTGATACACCGCTTTCTGGCAAGCGTTAATATGTACAGTTTATAATGATTTCCATTTCACTTAACTAGCTGGTTCGTACTTTTCCGGAGACGATCTTTTCGTAGATCTGGATCGGCTGATCGGCGAAGAATGGCGGATAACCAGCGGCCATTTCGTAAACAAGAACGCCCAGTGCCCACCAATCGACGGCTTTGTTGTAACCTTTTGACAAGATGATCTCAGGAGCGAGGTATTCGGGTGTGCCGCACAGTGTCCAGGTCCGGCCTTTCACACGCTTTGCAAAGCCGAAATCGGTTACCTGTTCGTTACAAGGTGTACCAATTTAAAAATAAAGCAACAGCCAAATACCAAGTCTTACCAACTGCGAAAAAAAAACTGTCATATGTAGACACGTCACCTCCGCATACGTACGTTTTTACTTATAATAGCAGTCTTAACACGAGCAAACAAGTAGTAGCTAGAAGACACACGCTTGGAAGTCGAAATTTTCCAAAGCCATAATTTTAACCGAATTAGTAAACACTGGCGGCGATTTTGTGATCTTTACCTTAATGTAGCCCTGATGGTCAATGAGCAGATTCTCCGGCTTCAAATCCCGATAGATGAGGTCAAGCGAATGCAGGTACTGGAACGCGAGCACGATCTGAGCTGCGTAGAATCGAGCATGCGGCTCACTGAATATTACCATCGTTGTCGTGAAACGCCGCGTGAGGAAAAAGAGCAAAGCTTTGTTATTACGGAGCCTGGTAGTTCAGTAGGACGGTGCACAATGGGCAGTGAGCAAAGTTATCGACTTGAGTTAACTAAGCTCTAGTGATATATAGCTATTTCATAGTTTCTCAAGTTTCGTAATGGAACAAATTAAAGCCTACGATGATCGGCCGTACATAAATAGGTAGTCACACTGTGTCTGTGTTATTGTCGTCAGCAAATGACGTTGTTGCAACTCGATTTAATCAGTGGTTTGGAGACACTTGAGCTGTCCTGCACCTGCGGGGCTACTGGGCGTCTATTGGATTACCACTTTCGGAAAAAACAGAATGATGGACAAATCCTTGTAAACTGGCTAAACAGCGTACTACTGGCGCCACAGGATGTTGCGTTGAGCCTGTACGACATAGTTGTTGATTAAGGTGACAAAGAGTGTGTCTCACGAAAATAAGGCAAAATGAAAACACACGAATCGTCCGTTAATGATGATCCATGCACATCTTCATGACCTGTTACAGCTCTTCTTCGTTTTTTTTTTTGTTTTTGTTTAACTTGTGGCTCTTCTTCAACTCTTGACACCGGTATAGCATTTTGATTTACTAGCCCAGCCTACTCTAGCCGTTTTCTTTAAATCACTGTCATACTAGGATAAACAATTTTATATACGTATGAATTAACTGTCGCCTCGTGCCGAAGATTTACACTGTGGCTTTAGATGCAACGACCAAGTTAATCTTTTCAATAACAGGCACGAAGCCTACTTTTGTTTCCTTGGTTTTTCATACATTGTTAAAAGTATACCGACACGCGACAAACGTATGAATGAGTTGCACATCGTATAATACACAGGAGCCAATAATGTACAGAGCGATCAGAAAATTCCAAGAGGAGTACCTGGTGAAATGTGCGTGGCCTTACTGCAGAAGCAGCTTTTTGATCATCCTGTAGAATAACTGTGTATCTGATTGTGGACATGGGACATGAATCAGGCGTGTTCTAGTGATACTGAGACGATCCGTGTTGACGAAGGTGATTGATGGAACGAACAGAAGGACGAAAACCGGACTGGCCGCATCGTATCTTCGCCGAAGGAATCGATTGGGTGCCCGACTGGGTACACGAACCGACGCCTGGCGACCGCAGGTGCGACGTCAGGACATATGCAACTCCATTGGCTAAGCAGGAAAGTGTTTTTTGCAGGCATCGAAGCCTATTATTTGCTCGCAATGGACAGGCTGTCGTGCAGTCTAGGCTTAAATCTCGCCTGCGCTTCAGGCGGATTCAAGCGGACCGGAGTAGGCTGATTCATTCAATGACATGATATTTTTGCTGATTGGTGAAAGATATAACGAGCGTATTATCGATGCCTGATGAATTCCTCACCTAAATCGGCCCACCCGTCGGAGATGCGAGAACATTTCGCCACCCATCACATACTCTAACACCATGTAAACGTTCGAATTATCCTGAAATAGGTCCCGAATTTCAGCCAACAGCAGGAATAGAAGCCGCAATGGCGGGCGTACAGAAGTAGTCAGGGTAGGCCCACATCAAGACGAACGGGAAGAAGCAGCAAGAAGAGGCAAGAATACAAAAAACAAAGCGATTCATCAAGCCTAGTTAGTGTTCGGGCCTATTCACTCTACCATTGATTATGTATTGTTCACTCACCTGAACTTTCCGACTTTACGCAGGTGGGTAAACATCTCACCACCTTGGACGTACTCTAGAACCATGTATAGATTCGAATTATCCTAGAAAGGGAAACAAAACAGTGACAAACAAAACAAGGACAGACCGCAGCACAGACGTACGACGGTGCGAAAAAAAAAAACAAAGACAAACAATCTCTGTGAAAAAGACATTCGGTCAAATGTGAACAGGTCATATTGACATATGTGACAAGTGAGGAACATTTGGGACAAACTACAATAGTGGTATTTCGATAATAAGTCATGTGCCTGTGGCCTAGATGATGATGATGATCTGGCCAGACTTAGGTAGACGTCTACACTAAAGGCTAGCCTAAAGTATAATTATGACATTCGCGTCACACTACAGCGTCGATCAATGCCGCTTCAAATATGAACAGTAAAAAGATTCTGCTATACTTTAGATATCGCTCAAAGTCGATATCGAGTGCGCACCGCATATACAGGATGAGTAATCTCTCGATAACATCTCGTATTGTTCAAACCAGCCTGTACATGCATGTTTATAACGGAGATGTGATGCTACAAAATCTGAACATAGAAATATCAATGGCGCTACAATGACATCATGATTATGCACCAGCGTGTTTCACTGGCTACTTAAACACTATCTACTTATTATATAGATAAATAATAAGGAAGTTCAAGCAAAAAAAGATAAGGGCTACCTTGAGGCGAAAGTGTACTCGCTAGGGCCTTATTTCTCGGAAATTAGAAATGGCAGGCAATTTTATGTAAAATCTAGGAGTGGCAAATTACATCTATTTATCTATCTATCTATCTATCTACCTAGTAAAACGTCAGCCATCGAAAAAAGAAGCATATTTTATGATGATACAACAACTACATGTATACATGTAGTAGATGTATACATCTATAGAGAGAGAGAGAGAGAGAGAGAGAGAGATAATCGCAAAAGTATTAACCGTTTCTCTAGCTTGATGGCTTCAAAGTCGCATGTCTCGGGTTATATGAGCCATGTCGGCTCGGTGATCGTGTCAATTAAAAGCTGACACCCGGCAGTAGTCGACGTCGTAAAATTTTTAGAAGGCCTTTATGCAGACATAAAATAAAGCGCCTTGAGGTGAAGTTCCTAAAAAATTGCTATATTTTACAATTTTGTTACGATAAAAGCCTGAATGTTGCCCAAGCCCATTAAAAAAATTGCTCTTTTAGTTTGAACAAGATCTGTGATCGGAAGAAATGGCTCAAAACAATGGTCTTGTCATTTTTGTTCTGGAAATTCAACGTGAAAGGTGCCCCTCGTACTAACCCACCAATCGAAAGAGTCGATGAAATTATTGCAAAGACCGATACGTGAGTAGCCATGATATTGCCAAGAGACCAGACATCCACACAGTTTTACATGATTTGAAAAAAGTGGCTATAAAAAAGTTCGATGTTTACGTGCCTCAAAAAAGCATTTCTTTGATCGTATTTCCAATCTCTACGAAAATGTAACGAAGTGACGCCATTTCTAAAGCGACTGGCGATCGCAATGTACGAACAAAAAGAAAACGCTCTGCAATCTGTGGCAAAGGCCACACTGACGTCAAAAAAGGTGACGTTCAACAAGGCTAGAAAATAATCGTGCATTGTGAATTGCTGCCGGCCAGCAACTAACAAAACAACAATACTTGATTGAAGAAAAACTGACCGAGCAGAAAAGGCGTCGTCGTTTATCATCAAGTTTCCATTACACACGTTTTTAACTAGGCGGCAAACAAAGACAATACTTGGATAGGAAATTTCAATGCATCTACCATGTAGTCCGGACGATGCGCCATACAACTATCATCATTTATAGTCTCTGCGGAACTCCTATAAGGATGTCAACTTCGTTTCAATTGCCCGTCGTAGTTTTTCGCCCAGAACCCACAAAAGTTTTACAGCGATGGGATTAGCACGTGACCAGAAAAGTGGCAGGAGGTCATCAATCAAAACGGCCCCCATATTTAGCCTAGTAACATTATTTTAAAGTGTAAAAAAAATACTACTTCAACTTTGGTTGAAGGCGTTTAATATTTACTCGACAACCTAACATATATGTCGTGTACAACAAATGACATGTCTACAAGAAGGGGCATGTCGTGTCTGCGTAAGAAACACAAAGCAAAGTTATACAATACTCATAAGAAAAATGATTTCAGCCGAATATGTCGTGCCTGTGGTCTGAGTTTCATTCCAGCTTATCGTGTGAAGATGGCTTCGACGCGCAAAATGTCTGAAATGCTTCGTCAATTTATTATTACGGCTCTTTTACACTAACCCTTTTAATGTGTCGTAAAGAATGCTCCTAAGTCATTCGAGAAGTCCTACATTATTCAAGCTAATTTGTCACCTAAAGAAATAAGATCTCTTCTTTCACAAGATGCAAAATTTTACAGTTCTCTCGTTATACGTTGCTACAAGTTGAGGCCAGCGTCATCCGTTAGTTTAGTTAGTGCGTTTCTAGCTTTTTTGTAGAACTGTTCTCTCTGTATACATATATATATATATATATATATACATGTATACATATATATATATATATACATGTATATATATATATATATATATATATATATACATGTATATATATATACATGTATATATAGAATAGGCTAAGTAAATTCAAACGCAGGTGCGCAAAATTCTAGAGAGCGAGCTAGTTTTGATAAGGATCTCATTCAAATAAACGATTCTGTTTTGGCAGAAAACTGTATGTAAGGAAACATTTCATCATTATAAATTGATTTGAATCCATCTCTTAAAGCAACGCTTACAACAGGCGAATATTTGTTGCTTTCCACATGTTTTCATTTCAATTTGAAATGCTACACGATCGTTCTATGGGTTTTGTATCTATTTACTAAGATTATTACCTTGAAGTGATACGCGAGTCGGACAAGGAAAGGGAAATCGACCGCTTGAAGAATTTTCTTCTCATTCAAAGTGTGCTCAACCTGTTTTAGCTTAACCACCTAAAAAGTGCAAAGATTTATAGTGTATAGGACAAGATTGAAATCATCATGTACATTGTTTTCACTGTCATCATCGACAAGTATGACATGTATGTATACTCTGCGACACAATGTTAAAAAGTGTTCACATACGTTTCAGTTATATAAAGAGGCTTTGGCAAGTACTCTAACGTCGACTCTGTCTTTCTTTCAGTCGAGCAGATAGATTTGTTTGCGTCAGTCAAAACGTGTACATATGTTACAAGTTGCGCCCTGCCGAAGCCCAGTCGATGTATTGGCTTGCCACGCACCGTCCAGACAGTAACGCTGCTTATTATTTGATGTTGTTACTGTGTCGTCAGTTAGATCACTACGTTGTTGTCTACGCAACAGCGATTGTAAAGCACTAATGCCCACTTAGAAGTTAGTTACTCGTCTGCGGACTGATTGTCTCGCTTTTGAAACATTCACATATAATGGGAGGGCCTTCGTCGGCCTTTGCCAATAGTGGGCTTAGACTACCGTTTGGCTCAAGTACGTGAGCAACGTAAGCTTTCTAAGCGGATGTCAGTTTCGGGACTCATAATCGCTGGGGACTGCCTCTCTGCCATTACTATCTTTACCTTCTGAAAGTGTCATGAATAGCTTCTGAGCGTTTCTCCACAGACAAGCTTGGACAGTTGTTGACAATGCACGGAGACGTTTGCTCATCGGCACGTTCCAGAAGCGACGTCACTATTCTTGACAAATCTCGAACTCTGTTGCGGTCCTCTGCGGCCTTAGTAGGTTCTCTGAGGAGCGAATGTTAGAAAATTTTTGGCAGAAATAGGTGCAAAGTGTGATGGCAGACACATTTGTGAAAGCCTGCGGCCGCACATAAAGAGCTTAAACGCCCAATGATAGGAAACGTCCGTTTCGAACTATTGTAGATGCTTCAAAAATAGTTTGATGACCGCCGCTCCCTGGGGGAAGGTGAGCAGCTTTAGTTAATTACCTCAATGTACTTCCTTAAAATATTTGAACATTTCTCAATATATTTGAGTTTGTCTATCTGAAGAGAACGTCGCGCCGTGCGCGTTGTGTTGCAGCTCATATCTCCAGGTATGCGTAAGCAAAGCGGCTATTCCGCTTTGCCGCCGTATAAAGCGGTCATCATCAGGCTTTAAACTAAGCCTTTTGTCCGAAGTCGAAACCATAACAAGCAGTCAAATACCCTTAGGTAAGATGGGTTGATACTGAACTTCTGTAGTTGATAGCTTTTATGTTTGCACGCATTTCTTCGATTGCAAGTTCGTTTTGTGGGCCGATTCGATGCTTAACGTCTAACGCACAGACTAGACATTCCTATTGAATTAAGTCTATGTGTCCCGTCAAGACCTCCATGACAGGGTTATGTCTGCGTTCGGTGTAGCAATGGAACTAATTCAACGATACACCGTATAGTGACCTCAATGGCCTCTTGTTGCTCGCCTGCATTTCCTCGCTCTGGCAAGGCTATACATTTTTCGTCCTTGTTGAGAAGATTATCAGCTCAAAATATATCCTGTGAGGTCCACTTATCGGCGAATTTTGTGCCAATTCCATTACAAACTTTCGGATAGACCAAACGACGAGCAGACACCTAGACTCAGCTTTGAAAGACGCGAGTTTACATATGTATACATTTTGCTGGCGCGAATATGGGAAAGTAGACAAATTCCATGTTTAAATTTTCACCGATAAACTTTCCATTTACCAAAACCTCTTATATCATTGTTTGAACTTAATTAAGTTTTATCATACACAATTTCTTGTTCGGAACGTATATCGATAAAAGAAATTTTATGAGTAAGGTTCGTGTATTCTATATCATCTGAAAAAAATTATGATCTACATGCATCTGATTTGAACACCAATACAAGTTTTCTGTGTTTGATTTCATTATATACCGCAAGCAACCTGTGTAGACAGGGCTTATAAGTGACCAAGATAATTGTAACACCCCAAGGCCGGAGAGAGGAAATATAACTAGTCGCTGCTCACCTTCTGTTTATCGAGAATCTTCATGGCGAAATAATCGCCAGCGTTCCTGTGCTTTACCAGCATCACGCGGCCGAATGATCCTGTACCAAGTGTCTTGATCCGATCGAAATCGTCCAGCATCGCCGTGTTCTGTTTGTTCCAGAGTGGCAGGCACCCATAGTAACATTAACCGAAGAAAAGGATAGAGTGAAAAATCAGAATCAGAATATGTGGCTGTCTGATTTAGCCATGTGAAGCATACGGAGGGCAAGGATAAGCAGGATAAAGGTGGGTCGGAGCGTTGATAGTTCACACGAGTACATGTTCATAGAAGATTATCGAGAAAACATGTATCTGTATGGATATATAAAAATTAATATGGTGGCATATATATATACATACATATACGCCACGAACATTCCTTGATAAAAACGAGATTATATTTTTAAACGCTTACAAGGCACTTGCGTTCGTTGCTCATTTAGAATCAGATAAAGTTGAAGTCTCAAAACTGAATCGTGCTAAATAGACTGGTCCCCTCTTACGCTTTTCTATAGACACCGCGCTCATGTTAGCGTGATAGGCACTCGTAGAACATATATATCATAATATATCAGTAATATATCAGATAATCACTAAGTTTCATTAAATTGCTACGATAAGAATAAAACCTATTTTACCACGCACCGCAATACGATGCTGCTACTACTGCTACTACTACTAGTACTAGTACTAGTACTACTACTACCACTACTACTACTACTACTACTACTACTACTACTACTACTACTACTACTACTACTACTACTACTACTACTACTACTACTACTACTACTACTACTACTACTACTACTACTACTACTACTACTACTACTACTACTACTACTACTACTACTACTACTACTACTACTACTACTACTACTACTACTACTACTACTACTACTACTACTACTACTACTACTACTACTACTACTACTACTACTACTACTACTACTACTACTACTACTACTACTACTACTACTACTACTACTACTACTACTACTACTACTACTACTACTACTACTACTACTACTACTACTACTACTACTACTACTACTACTACTACTACTACTACTACTACTACTACTATACTACTACTACTACTACTACTACTACTACTACTACTACTACTACTACTACTACTACTACTACTACTACTACTACTACTACTACTACTACTACTACTACTACTACTACTACTACTACTACTACTACTACTATACTACTACTACTACTACTACTACTACTACTACTACTACTACTACTACTACTACTACTACTACTACTACTACTACTACTACTACTACTACTACTACTACTACTACTACTACTACTACTACTACTACTACTACTACTACTACTACTACTACTACTACTACTACTACTACTACTACTACTACTACTACTACTACTACTACTACTACTACTACTACTACTACTACTACTACTACTACTACTACTACTACTACTACTACTACTACTACTAGTACTACTACTACTACTACTACTACTACTAGTACTTCTACTAGTGCTACTACTAATAGTACTACTACTACTAGTGCTACTAGTAATAGTACTACTACTAATAGTACTACTACTACTAGGGCTACTATTACTACTAATAGTACTACTACTACTAGTACTACTACTAATAGTGCTAGTACTACTACTACTATTACTACTACTACTAGTACTACTACTAATAGTGCTAGTACTACTACTACTAGTACTACTACTACTATTACTACTACTACTATTACTACTACTACTACTTTTTTGTACAGAGCCAAATATATTATACCTACATTTAAAACTTACCATAGAACTATTTGATTCTTTATAAACAGTTAAATATCTATTCATGACCAATATGTTCATTCCATCTATTTTTGTCTGCTTCTGATAGGTTTCAAATATTCTGCCCATAAACGCCATGAATTCTGCCCATTTCAATCATCTCCACTTTATCATCTCCATATTTGTTTTTAAGATTAGGAACGACCAACTCGTGGCAAGCATGCAAGAAAGATTTTTGTGCTATAATCTTGGATTGTTTTATGTTCTTCAGCTTGTTATACATATACATTTGGGATGATAGAGCTGTCTGGTTCAAGTTTAATATGATTGGGTTTTATTATGGGTCCAGTTTATGCGTCTATTTTTAGAACTGCAGAGATATGCGCCGCACGGCAAACGGATCTGACTAAGTTAAACTTAAAAGACAACAAAAAACCAACGCTGTAAATAATTCTGTTGGCCAGTTACAGAGAAGTCTCCCCAGAGGAGCGTAATCTAACAGTAAAATAGTGACTTTATTTTTGGCTGATGAGTTATCGTTCAAGAGTGTTGTGGATTTAGCAGCGGGGTATGAATGTACCTACCGAAAATGTTCCACACTTGTGGTATCTAACTTTTACGATTACGTCACTCAACATTACCCATAAATACAAGAGCATGACTCCAACGGAATGAAAGTTTATAGCTAGAAGAAATTATCAGCTGACTCAATTATAGATAACGAACGAAAGTGCTTTTGATTAACTTATAGAGGGGCGGAATATGTTGGTATCCACTGAAACAATGAGTGGGAAACATCACTTCATGTTACAGTAGTTGAAAACCACGAACAGATTCAATGGAAACATAGTAAAATGTCAATCGCAATAAAGCAGCAAGGGTCACAAAAAAACTTTGCGTAGGAAAAAAGGTCCAGTCTTGGTCGACGTTGGATCCTAAATACCAGACCCAGCTCAAATTCGATGGATTTCGACTCAATGCTTCTGAAGCATTCACAGTCAGGACCCCAAAAAAGTACACAAACACTCAGAATGGATACAGTCTTCGCTTGCCCTTCAATTAATAAAAGTGCTAACATTATTTTGAAAAATCACCTTTTTTAATACGTGTTTGCGTCGCGCGCATTCGAAATCGGTGCGCAGGGATACACCGATAGGTCTTGTCAGCTCTAAGCCGTATTCTCCAATATTAGCAGCAGAAGCGGACTCGATATAGACGATATAGAAGTGCTCGATTTATTTCTTCCCACCAGCTAACATATAGAGCTCGAAAAAAAATTCAAAGAGAGGCTCTCGTTTGCTTGTCTGTACAACGGCACATGTTCGTCAAGTTCTCTGATCCGATCACAGACTAACCTTTGAATCAATGGCTGACGTTCCGGTTGTTGGCATGGCGGATTCAACCGCACACGGAGGTAAACGTGGTACTAAGCATTGTGATGCTTTAACTAACATTTTCGCAATAAATTAAATTGTTGCGATTAAAACAAAGATCGAGAAGGAAAAACCAACAGCTAACGATTTACAATGGCTATTATCCCCAAAATTATCGGGCAAAACTCAACACCAGCAAGGACCTGATAGAGATGATATAGGTATCACTTGACGTCTAAGCTATTGTCGACTCTGTGCCAAGCACGTTTTGACTCAGCTGTTATCTTCCGCAGCAAGGGCAGGACGTACACGACGTGGAGCACGATATCGCTTGCCAACGAACTACCAAACGACAACCGCCAAAGCACGTGCATCTTCGTTCTGACGTGGCCGGTACGAACTGGTATTAATCCTCAGTTCATCGTCGACGACGATGGCCACAACCGTCAGACGTGCACACGCTTAAGAAGATAGACGAATCAAGTGTTGCAAAGGAAAGAAGTTGTTATTTATTGTTGGGCAACGTAAGTTCTACTTTGTGTAGTACATAAACTATAGCACTAATCAATGATATTTTTCTTAGAATACCTACCTATCTGCGGACGCTGAAAGGACTTGAGTGTAAACAAAAATGACAGAAAGTTCCAGTGTTTCCGCTGTGTGAGTTCGCAAAGCTTGTTGATTTGCAAGTTAAAAAAAAAGAAATGCACTTTTCGATTTGTGTCATCTTGTGATCGTCGATTGAATTTATGTAGGTTCTAACAACTCATTTGATGTTGAAATTTTTGTCTGAGTTTAATGGACTCATTTCAGTGTTTGGAGTTGGGTGTAGTTGTACCCTTCGTATGGCCGTATTAAGGTCGGTTTAGTTTTTGGTAAATGCACCGTAGTATTATTTTAGCCTTTTGTGTGCCATTTCAAAGTTAACGGTATTATATTCATCATTTCCCTAAGCTCGCTACCACTATGTATATATATATATATATATGGTCATACCGCTACATGTGGGATGTCCGACTGAAGAGATGCAGTACAATCCAGGACTCGTTAACTACCAAGGTTCGACCGATATCCACGAGTTAGGCTCGTCATAATGGTAGCTACTTGTATAGGTCGGCAGCCGTGATAGTAGTAAGGCGTGTTTAGAAAATCCACATGGTATATAGGAATAGAATAGACTTCAATGCCATTCGGGCTATTTTTGCAGAATGAAACGCGGTCGTCTGCTGCTGCTGCCGGAGCCGCTGGCATCAACTTATGCGCGATGCCGGAGGGAATCCGACAATGGGTTCCGTACAAAAGCATGGTACCTTCTCGTTTCAGAGGCGAAGCGACAGTACAGCCACGAGACAATCGGATAACAGCTCTCTCTTTATCCAGTCTTGTACACCGCAAAACGCGTGTTAACCCATGGTATTAAGCCTCTCTCTGACCAGAACCAAACGCCATGGAGCTACCATGCCAACTAGTCCTTTTCTACCTATGTATTTGTATGTGGTATCATGTGACAGCGATCGAAGGTCTGCTCGTTCATTCAGATAGATCCTGTTCATCCGGTAATGAACACCAAACAAAAAACGCTCAGAATATTGTTGGCTTGTTACGACCATAGCTATACTCGTAATGTACGACGTTCGCTTAACGCAGCCGATTACATTCTAGGTTAGCCTACTAAAATCGGTTATAATCAACAGCGAACTGTTTGATAAATTTTGAATGTTGATAATGTATAATTCTGCTCGATAAGAGACGGTGCGTTTGTTAACCGGTAGGCCAAAGTCCACGGCAAACGTCGCACCAAATGTATTTAGAATGGCGACCTCTAGCTACCTTCAGCAGGAAACAAAATTAAACGTGCAGTACGTATACGTGGCAGCCGTAATACGTATAGAGGCCGTTCACATGACTCGAACGTAGCGGTTGTTTTTTTCTCAGAAACAAGAAAAAAAAGCCTAAAAAATAACGCCACCTCATAACAGTAAAATATAGTTGCGAATAAGTTAGTAAAGGACGCGACATCTCCTAGGTGGGTGCGGCCAAAACGACCGCTAGCTAATTTATGCCTAAGCAAAGATTTGTAAAACTACCGATCGTCGACAATGCATTACATCGCTATGATTCGGTTACCAGCAGCCATGAAACAAAGCTACTTTGAAGCTAATAGGTCGTTGGTTAAAACCTGAAATTTTAGTTCAGGAAGGAACGTGAATCCAGAGTGAGCAATAAACAACCGAGAAAAGCTCTTTGGAGAGAACGGGAATTTTCATTGCACCCCTCTAAGGCTTGTGGATATCCACGAAACAATAAACCAGAACGAATGGAAAAGGACCTGATTGCTGTTTTCCCTGCGGCAGGGGTCTCGGCAAAAGAGAATCGACCACGTTCACTTGACCGCTACGAAGAAACATGGCTCAGCCTGCTGGTACTAAAGGGGGCCAATTTACAGTTCATTTGTTTATCTGATTTTCAGTTTCGCTCGAAGATCGATTACTGATAGTATGCTGTCACTCGTTGCCGTAGCTGATTACTCATTAATTCTACAGAGCAGAGCTAAAGGTAGGCCAGTTGTTCGTAGACAGCAGAGTAGAGAACGTTCGGACAAAGGTTGTATTCCTATAGGGCCTTGAGCTGACTTCGAGAATGGCGGCTGCTAATCTCTGTGAACGACTCACACAGCCAACTACTATACAAATTGTTGATGTTAATTTTATACGTCAGCCATTAACCGCAAGACAATATGGCTACTTATACCGCTTTCCCGCGCAGACAACTGCTGCAGAAATGTTTGGCAATGAATGAAACGGGTACAGTCATTGCATGACGCGCACCTGAAAAGCTTCCCGTTGTAAATGAGGAAAAGTTAGTGTGATAATATTTTTCGGTATTATATTGTATGATATAATCATTACTTACCGAGCTGGGATTTGTCCATTTTTGCTCGAACTGTCGTCTGGCCTCTTCAAGGAAGCGTTCGACTGTACAACAGCGACGTCGACATGAAAGTAAGGTTCGTTCAGCAACATTTAAAGGAAGTCCGCATCAATTCCGATCACGAATCCGGCGAATAATGTGCAAAGATTGTCAAGCGAAGATACAAAATAGAAAGCACGTAGCAAGAAAAATATTGCGGTAAAGCAACGATAAACAATTTACGTAACAACAGTAACAGCAACAACAACGGGACAAGAACAACAAGACAGATACTTTACGTTAGAACACTGTATTAAGCAAAGCAATAGATAGATGTATGTATGTATGTATGTATGTATGTATGTATGTATGTGGAGGACAAGAAACGATGGGGGTGTATTTCACGGGCGGCTAGCCGTCCCCGTCTAACGTCTACAATACCTTCACCATATCTCCTAAGCGTAATTCGGACGACTTACTGATTTGAAGCACAGTCATTCACTCATTGTCGTCTGCTAATTTATCTAGTGCCACACTATAAAGCGTTGTATTCGATCATCGCAACGCGTCAGCAAATTATAAGCTTGTGCTTTGCACTTGAAAAAAGCAGAAACGACGACGATGACAACAACAATAGAAGGAATGATAGCTGGAATCGCTAGAATTAGAGCTCGTTGAATTTCCTATACGTACTATATGAATACAGATATCAGAACTAGCCTTTGATTAAAATACTCTCAATTTCTCCTATGCTGTGTGCCAAGACTGTACTCGTTCGTTCATTCATTCATTTAGTTCCACTAAATCGCATTCAAACAATTGTTTTTCCATTTCCTTCTGGTTTTCCCTTCTGTGCACGATCCACACACGCTAACACATAGAAATCTTCTCTCTATTCGTTTCTCATTGGTCATTGTCATTTACATAAGTCAATGCAAAAGCCATTCCACCCCACAGCGCGTTCGTAGTGTCGCTTAATAGTACTTCGGTACCTCAGTCATATATGTGCATATATGTAGATTCTTATAGCATCTCTCGGCTAACATCGGCCGCTTTGTCTCCGCAGTAGACAAATACAATCGTTTGATCAGCACACTTCTACAGGAGTTGATAATGTTAAAGGCTAAAGCCGAAACCTATCCACAGAAGCGCATCGGCGCTACATCACAAAAACGGATCAATGTCAGATAAACTATCTATTACGCAGCTAGCTACACTGGTTGTTTACGGCAAGAAAGCAACGGTATTATGCAGTGAAAGGTAGTACTATTAGCTGTGCTAGTAAAAAAAAAAAGGAAAGAAATAGAAGAGGAGAAAAAAAAAAAAGCGCTACACACGGCTTAATAGAAACGAACTAAATCGAAGCTCATCAGCCGAAGTCACACTCGTACAGGTGAGTGTTTACGATTATGCGATCACGCAATTGAGACAACAGCAGCGCGACGTTTCGTCACGCGCAAAAGTAACGTTTCAGTGATCTGGTACGTTTTACAATGTATCATATAACTATGTATCCGTCATTCATAATTCGTGTAAGCTAGAAATAGTCTAAAACGGTACGTGACAATGATGCGATACAAGTTTGAACTAAATAGCAATGAACGTTGTGTAGCTGAATGAATAGATTGTTCCTCTATCGCTGCCAAACCCTCCTATTTTTGATTTGGTTTTCCTTTTCCTTTCTGGATGTCCTTAAAGTGGGCTTTTGTTCATATCTATCCAGCACAGATGTTGCAGGTGCGCGCATCAGGCTGCTTTGTTTTCGTACTGCAGACCGACATGGCGAAAGAGTCTTGGAAATTTTCACTTTGTGATGTCGAAAGCCATTTATGCCGCCGTATGACCATCTGCGTCGGTTTGTCTATGGTATCAGCGGCACCTACAGAGCTTCGTCAAAGGACTGAGCGGAGCCATGATGAAACCGAGATGAGCACGGTTCCGATTGAGAAGCACTCTTCCCCATCTCCCCCGCGGGGTGTCAGTTGGTTGTTGAGCGTCATCTTCATGATACGTTTGACTAAACGTTTTTTTAAGAAATCCACCGTGAGCTTGTCATCGCTCTATTCTATAAAACCTTGCTTTTGTTTAATAAAATTACAACACTCTTCCCTTGAAGGATTTCAGCCCATGTAAGTAAGAACCCTATACTCGTGACGGGTGGGAAATAAGGTAAATTGAACGTCTCGAGCGTGCCGCCTACTAGGGCCACTGCTTTAACCTTCGTCCCACTTATTTTCTACAAGTACTTGCTAGCAACAGAATTATCAAGCATCTTGACCCTAATATGAAATACTGGCACATTCGTCTACCGTCAATCATGAGCAATTTAGTTCCTTTCTCTATTCTGTTTTCATATTTGCCGCCATTTTTGCAACAGATAAATAATCAATCGCCCACGTAATTCGCTATGCTACTAGCCGAAATGCTGGCTTCTCTATGTCACACATACATGAGACGGTTACTACTATCTTTTCCATCTTTGTGGAAATCCTGTGAAACAGGATGAAGAATGCTATTCTGTTCTGCTTGTTATAACAGTTGTATGGCAGCTAGAAGAAAAGGAAGCGGCCAAAGGAATATAAATCTATTCATATTAAACCACGACCGCTAGCGAATAGCCAGAGCTAATACGAAGAAGTGCTGGCTGCTCAAACCTTGGTGTGCGTTGACGGCTGCTGCTGACTGCGACGTATGGACCAGGAAAGGATCGAACAGACCCCTCACGGATTGGAGACAGAACATAAAGACGAGAGTTGGCTAATGCGCGACTAGGGGTGATTGTTTATGAGTTACTGTTGCTGAAGTTTCCGCAAAAGCTACAAATGCTATCGCTGCTCCTTGCATTCGTTGCCGTTGGTGGGGATGCTTCTGAGGTACTGGAAGGCCAGCCACCGCTGGTACCACTGCAAGGCGATCGGTTCGAATCTTACCCGAATATTCACCGGAACTGAGGGCTTCGAACACAGGGTTAATGACAAGTAAGCTTAAAAACGGCCTTCGAGTCTTTCTCTGCTTGGCCTAGCTACGTGTGCGCCTAGCTGAGAACGGAAGAAAAGACCAAACCCCCGCCTACCACTTGTTGGGGCTCAGCGAAAGGGGCGAAGACAACAAACCGGTCTCGTAGACAGTGGACAGATAGATGTACGTTGGTCCATTGGATGTGCGTATTATACAAACGAATATTACTATCAAGTTAGTGCCGTGGAAGGTTAGTAGTGATAGCAGATTTCTCGCTCGTCAATTACATTAAGATTCTGTCAAAGCGGCTGGGTGCAGTAAACGAAGACGCGATGTCTTCCGTGTTTCGTATCGCTTCCCAATGACGAAAATTCGGAACTGCATTAGTTTACGCAAATGATTGATTGATATATTAGAGCAACGGCCACTAACTCGGCTTTCTTCAAACAGGTACGACCGCTCAATTCAAAATCGGATTACCGGCGTCATTGGCGTGGAGTATCTCTGTAAACAAACGCCCCTGTTTATGCTTGTTCCATAACACCCTTCCAGCAAATCAACCGACTACGACCTACAGTACTATAATGTCCGTTACCTTAGGTTTAAGCTATAACTTTGCCCCTAAGGTAAAAATAGCTGTAGAGACCTTACCAAAGTTCCTGTTCCTATTATTAACTCGATATTTGCGTTGATACGCGGCAAGCACATTCGAATATACCTGAATCACCTGAATACGACAGTGTTGCTCACATGCTTTGTAACTCATCTAGAGATAATTCTTAATTAAGCATAAAAGTGGCGTTCGTATAAAATCTTTTGTACTAGTTGCACTTTGTATTGATCAACAAAAGTTATCAGAGACAGATGGCTGATATTGTTAAAAGTTTTCAAAGTTATAAGTTCTCGATTGTTTTAAATGTCCAAAAGGAATAGCTGTCTCCGTCGCTGCCGTTTGTCGTTATTGTAGTGCTTATACTTACTCGACTGGCGTGGCCCCTTCGCTAAGTAAGGTGCCGTGTTATTACAACTTTTTATTATGTAATACACCTAGATATCAGCATCACGAACCGTCTCACGGCCAACCTTTGCAAGCTGATCTGGACGCTGTGGCAGCGTGTCGCGGCCTTAATTGCTAGCTTTATAATTAATGTCTGGAAGTGGCCGTGCTGATTGGCTCGACCAAACACGATACGTTGTGAGTCTTTTTCTCTGCTTTCACGCTGATTACATTTTCAAGTTTCAGCAACTACTGATCGAGTAGCTGAAACGATAGCAGAGCCATTAGCCGCGGACTGAACGAGGCTTAGGCTTCCTCGGCATAGGTCTTCATTTTGTCGTCAAGTGATAACGATATCACCAACAATGCCAGTCACTGATCGTCTCTGAGAACACACGCTCCTAACGTATAACTAGAATCGAAATATATAAACACTTACATTTGTATGATTGGTCACAGCAGTAGTAGCAATGGGCGACACCAATTTCCCTTCATGCGCAAGCCAATCCCGAATTGGCCTTCATTTTCTGCACCCGACCTTATGGGTGAAGTTGACGTCGCACTGATCATAATGTAGCTATCATTTGCTTTGCAACCAGATCTAGGTTTGATTTTTGATGCGTATTCTAATGTTCGTGGCCTGCGTAAGCTTTTGAACGGATTCCTTGAATACATTAGCCACTTACGTGTTTCTACGACGAGCGCTACTCATACTGCTAGTACACATACGATACTATTCAGCTAAATATATATATTGTATAATAACAATGATTACGGCTCCACAGTAGATAACTACATAATCTATGCTACTATGGCTGATAGAAGCGCGTCGCGCTGTTCAGGCCTGCCCGTAAACCGTAAAACGGTATTATAGTTGCGTAAAAGAATGGTGGCAACCCTGAGACTTTTTTTAAGTTAGAATAAAAAAAATTCGGAAATTATGCCACTAGCGACAGCATCCACCAAAAGACAACATAAAAAAACATTGGGTACAAATACGGAGACACATGGGTCCTCCTGACACGAAACGAGCCTATCAAAGGCACTGGCGTAGACAAGCCGTGGACCTGTCCGATTGTTGCAGGCCAGGTCAAGCAACTCGTCATTACG